TTAGTATACGACTTTTCCCCCTGTTCCAACACTGGACACCTGTACTGGTTTTTGGTGGTAACGTGTTCCTGACGCTAGAATAGGAAACCACGGTAAACCAGTACGACGCCGGTACTGTCTGTAGGTCCTACAATGATATGGACTGCTTTGGCTGGTGAGGCGCTAGCGTCTGATACGACGTTTTTCCGTTTCTGTACCGCACAAGCGAAGACACTTATTTTGAGTGGTACCATGTGGGTGGCGCCAGCATACCACAGGACTTGTTTCCGTTGTTGTGAGACGATACATGCTCATTCTTGTTCTGTGGTTGTCGTTCCGGCCTCAATGTTGCGAGGACCTACGGTGCGATTCGTATGATTTTATGTTGCGCGGTGCTCAAATTCCTAAGAAACCCAATGGTTTTTGAAGATTTCGGCGTGCGCGCGCGAAGAAAAAACGAATGTGTCCCGCATGGTATTATTTGACAGGGATGATGGCCCTGGCAGGTGCGCAACCGTTGTTGGAGAAGTTCGAAGCACGTGAAAAAGTTGCTCGCAAAAGCCCGTTTGACAGAAATGTTTACAAAGTGTTGGGTTTCCTACAAATCCGCAAGAGCGCGCGGGATGAAATTTTGACACTTTTGTTTTGAAAAACCATTTGTTTTTTGATGTTTTTATGTTAAAATCGCTACGAACACTAAGGTTTTGGAAGGATTTCGTCTTGCGCGCGCGAATGTCCCCTTTACCTCATTTTTTGCCAGGGATTCTTGAAGTTTGGTTATGTTAGAACAAGAAATGTCTACTTTGCCTTATTTTTTGCAAGGGAAAACCGCCCGTAACAAAACAACCGGTTCCGGACCAACCCGTTTTGCCGGAGACTTCCTCGCGAAAATGATGAAAACATGGTTGCGGCCTAGGCGCGGCGAGGGGGCCGTGCACCAGGGGTCCCAACAATAATTATTCTGTAGAAGTAATAATGTTCAACAACAACAACAGCAACAGCAACAGCAACAGCAACAACAACGACTCCCGCTTGAGCTTTCCTCCCGATGTATTCCCGAATCGCGCTCTCGCGCGGGACGCCCTCAAATTATACAGGAATCACGTTCTCGCATGGGACTTTTTCCGAATTGATTCAGGCGCCGCGCCCTCGACACTCAGGAATCACGCTCTCGATGTGGATGTCCTCACGATTTATTTGAAAATCGCGCTGTCGTTCGAGTTTCCCCCGCGATTCATGCAGGATTCACGCTTCAGCAACCCGCCTGCTCGACGTGGCCACCTGGGCCCGCCTTCCAGACCCGCCCGCTAGGGTCTACCCGCCCGATCTACATGTCTGGTTCTGCTTCGTGCGTTCTGCTCCTAGCGCCCCTCCCGCCATTTTCTATCGCGCTGCATCATCCGCCCTTCCCGTTGCCCCTTCCTTCCAACCGTACTCTCTACCCCCACCTCAGTCGCTGCACGAGCTACACGTTGCAGGTAAGAAAGACCAGCCCACAAGGGGATACGGTCGAAGACGAATTGGGGCGGGTATCGGGGGTTTGGTAAATACGCGTTGAATAGCACGCGAGCAGATAAGATCGAACCTTCGTAAACTGATTGTCGTCGTCGTTGTTGTTGTTGTTGTTGTTGGTGTTGGTGTTGGTGTTGTTGTTGTTGGTGTTGGTGTTGTTGTTGTTGTTGTTGTTGTTGTTGTTGTTGTTGCTGCTGTTGTTGTTGTTGCTGCTGCTGCTGCTGTTGCTGCTGTTGTTGTTGTTGTTGGTGGTGGTGGTGGTGGTGGTGGTGGTGTTGTTGTTGTTGTTGTTGTTGTTGTTGTTGTCTTTGTTGTCTTTGGTTTCTTTGTTGTTGGTGTTGTTGTCGTTGCTCTATTGTTGTTGCTCCGTTGATGTCGTCGTCCTCGCCCGCGACCCACCCGCGACCCACCCGCGACCCGCCCGCGACCCACCCGCGACCCACCCATCGACCCACCCTGCGACCCACCATGGACCCCCCCCTTGCCCGCCCCCCTCACTCGTATCGCGGCGTGCCACGTGTTTGTGATTAGGGGGGGGGCACATCATGGCGGGGGGCATGAGGTCTCCCCCGATGTCAGGGCGCCTCTCTTTCTATTTGAGTGAGGCCACCCCCCTGGGCCGCGCACGCGCCTCGGGCCCTGGCATGGGAGCCCCCCTCTTGGACGCCCCCTCGTGGACGCCCCTCGAAAGAGCGCCCTGCCGCCAGTTCACACAGGAGTCGGGGGCGGCCGAGAGTCAGGAGCGAAATATTGACGTGCACGTAAATGATTCCACGTTGGTTTCAAGAGTACGCGTTGCACGAAGGTTCGTAACCCGAGGCTGGTCTCGCGGTTTGGGGGGCCGTATTCATGTACGTGTTTGGGCGCGTACGTTTCTTGAAGGGTTCCCTGAAAAGGGGTGATGGCTAGGGTGGGTGCATGTCATGGTTGGGGCCATGATATGTCCCCAAGTGTCATGGCGCCTCTGATTATTTCAATACGTCCCCTGGCCCCCACCAGGGCCGCGCACGTGCCTCGGGCAATGATATGCGAGCCCCCCTGTTGGACGCCCCCCCGCTTTGGCGTCCGCCCGACCGCCAGCACCAATGAGCAAGGGTCGAAGAGCAAGAAGCAGCATAATCACAATTTCTCTGAGGCCCGCGCGGATTTCTTGGATCGGCGCTGGGCGCCCCTGGCAGCGCCTCTGGCGCCGACCCTTGGCGCGATCCTGGTCAAGCGCCGATCCACGATCCCAGTAATCCGCGCGAACCATTATGTTTCTATGAGGCTTCTTGTGTCTCGAATGCTAGTGCGGAGCGGGGCAAGAGGGCCGCCGCGCCGCCAGCTTTTAAACGGATCAAGCGGTGACAGTAATAATAATACTGGGAACAAGAAGACGAACAAGAAGAAGACAATCCAAGGGTTCAATATCCCACAAACAGTGCATGCACTTAAGGGTTCTTGCTTGTGATCAAAGGCAACGGGGTCCCGGTGGCGGTCTGGCCAGCTCGTCGCCGCCAGTCGCCGCCGTCGCCGCTGGGCCCCCAGCGGGCCCTGATGGCGGTCTGGCCCGCGCGTCGCCGCCGTCTCCGCTTGGTTCCAGTGGCGGTCCGGCTGGCTTGTCGCCCGCCCGTCGCCGCGTTGCTTCGCATTGCTTCGCACTGCCTCGCATTGCATTGCAATGCAGTGCAGTGTTTTGCGCCGCCTACGACCCTCCTCGAAGACAAACGCAAGTTCTGACCTAGATTGCACCACATTGATTGCACCACCCAGCTTGCGCCGCGCAGATTGCAAGAAGTCACTGTTGGGGGTCCGCGCTGGCTGATGTTTCTACTCTTATTTTTCAACGGCTTTTCGCATGATCCATATGGGGTTCTGAAGCGAGGGCCGCTTGAGGCTATGCATCCCGGAACGTTTCCTGAGCCAATATTATACTGACATCGTTCTCGCCCCACATTTGTCCACTCCGTCTTGACTTGAAACATTTGTCCCTGAGGCAGCGCGAGGTGGGGAAACTGGGCTCAGGGGGAGATCCATCGACCACTTATCGCTCATTCATCGCCAATTTGTTCACCGCGCCCAGGAGCGTGCGCATTTTCTATATCGGGGGCCGATCGCCGATCTATTTGCAATGTATCGCCGCTTCAAGGTCGGTGCTTTCCCCCATGATCCAGTCGCTCGCCCACCTCCTCCTCCTCATCATCATCCACCTCCTCCTCCTCCTCCTCCTCCTCCTCCTCCTCCTCCTCCTCCCTCTCCTCCTCCTCATGTATCGCCGATTCAAGGTCGATGCGTTCCCCCAAGATCCAGTCTCTCGATCCAGTCCCCACCCAAAATTGCCCATCAAACAATCTGAGGCCCGCGCATTTAAAAACTTCCAGCTGTCTGCGTCGACTCCCGCCACCGCGCCAGCGCAGCACGCCAGCAGGGAGGAGGAGTTTACGACCCGCTCCAGTTCAGTGCCCAGTCTGAACTAGCGCGAGTTTTACTTTATCCTCATCTTCGTTCTTCTCCGCGTTGCTTCAGATTCGCTCGCGTCCATGACTTTCCCTTTTGGGCGTCTCTGAGCTGTCCTGAGCGCGATGGTTCACTCACCATTCTGTCAGTGGCTCAGTGGAGCCATCCTGGTTGGGTTGGATATTTGGGCCGTCTTCGGAGCTTTCTCAGGCCGTCTCAGGACAGTCATGCCATCTTTAGTGCGTCTGGGCTATTCGGAAGCCTTTATGTGGCACCGTTGCCACCGAACGGAGCACATATTTGGATCTCTTTGGTCTGTCCATGTCCTCTGATCCCAGGCCCTCGGCGGAGGCTCCCCCCGGCGCTTCGTCGAGTTTGTTGGTGTGTCTTCGGGTCTCTTGGGGGCATATTGGAGCTTTGCGCTGGTCGTCGGGCCTTTCAGGATTGATCTTGTGGCATCTTGCAAGCGTCGTTGGGGGGATCGTAGGCCGTTTGGGAGGTCGTTGGGGGCGATGAATGGCTCCTCTTGGGAGGGGGGGCGGTCCCTGCAGGGTACGGCCGCCGAGGGCGGAGGTCGCCCCTGCAACAAACAGCCGCACAGGCAACTACTAGTCATGCTAACATGCCAAGTTGTCTAACGTTCTAGCTGGCACAGAACAGACAGCCAGGGACATCATTCAAGCATTATAGTCAACATTCTGCGCCTCCTCATCGTCGTCGCTGTCATTATATGGTATGGCTCTGCGTTCGTATTCCTCTTCACGCCCCGCCCCCTGTGCTCGGCTCGTCATCATCGTCGTCCTCGCGCTCCTACTGCGCGTCTACCCTTCGCTCGCTCCTCTATCACCTTTTGTTTCCTCCGTCCCTTCTACTGCCCCTTGGCAACGCTCGGAGGTGCGCATTTTTATTTCGACGGGGACCATCGAGGAGCTGCCTGGACCATCGAGCAAAAAAGAGACGAAATCGACAAATGCACGGGGGAATGGACGTCCGATCGATGGCGAGGCCCAGTCATCCTCATCAGCCGTGTCCATCCATTGAGTCTTACGTTGCCCTCGCCCGGCAGCCCACAGGGGGCAAGCCTTTGGTCGGCTGGAGGCGGCGCCGCCTCCGCTTGCCAGCTGCCCCGGGGAAGGCCGTTCTCTTCCCTTGGCTGCTCCTCCTCCTCCCTCACCGCTCCCTCCGTTCCTCATCCCCCGAACCAATTTGGGCTCGAGGGCTATTCTCTGCACGCTGTCATATCGTCCTGGCACAGTATCCCCCGCACCGGGTTCAGCAGGCGTTTTTTTCCCGCGGCAGTTGGAGCTTTGGGGCCTCACCTGAGGTTTTTGAAAGATATACGGATATACGGACCTTTATCAGGTCATGAATACTTGTGGTTGGCTTTCGCCCGGAGGAGATTGGGCAACTGTCCAAAGCCATTCTCCGCATCGTTTTTTAATTGTGCCCCCCCCCCACACACACCCAGGGCATTGCCAGCGAAGCTGAGTTGTCGGCGGGTGGCACGCTCGACGTCGGCCAGTGGAACCGCCAGAGAGGTGAATCAATATTCCGTGAGCGACAGGAACCTGGCTACTAGCTCAGGGGAGCACCGAGAGGACAAAATGGCCCAGACCCTGCTCACGATGGAGCACTTCGCCGCAGCCAGCGCGCAGTCGCAGAGTCAAGCTCAGAACAAGTGCGCGCAGTATTTGCCAAGCGCTACTCCAAGCAATCTCCCAATCAAGGCCCACTTCCAGACAACGCCGAGAAGATCAATCCTGACAGCAGGCTGGATGGGGCCCAACAGGTTCAAGCACAGTTGGCAGGCGTCGCCATCTTTTCACCCGCCGAGCCGCACAATCGAACATGATTCGCCTATGCAGCCCTAGTTGCCGACGCCACCCGCCCGATACCCACATTCACCCCCCAACGCAAGCCTTTCAGGTGGCGGACCTGGCCTGGCAGATTGGGGTGCTCCCTCGCTGAGAGGCCCAGTGCTGGAGCGCTCAGTGCCGCGCTAGGGGCAGGCGTCGGCCTGGAAAGGATCGCCCTTGGCTCTGGCCAAGCACGTCATCAGCGACATGATGGATCTCGTGAGCAGTGAGCATGTGGATCGCCTTGGTCGGGCCGGCAGCGTGCAGCTGCTGCGCGGCATTGGCGCACTTCGCGTCGTGGCCGTTGCCTCGGGGCCTGAAGAAGTCTGCGTCGCGCCTCCTGGCAGCGAGGACGCTCTGCAGTTTGGCGTGCCTCCACCCCTCCGTAGTTTACAGCGCTGCTCACGACCGAAGTTTCCCAACGTGCAGTTGGCGACGCGGTTCTTAGCGAACCCATCGACAGCATCGCATCTTGTTGTGATAAATTCGAAGTGGTGGCCAGTTGGTGCTGTTGGCTGGCGCCATGGCTTGCGACGCCTGTCCGCTCGTCATGTAGCCCTAAATCATTGTATTTACTCTTATCGACATCGCTGTACCCAAATTTGCCTTGGGTGAGCAGGACGCAACAGCAGGCAGAGAGTGGGTTCTGAATTAGCGTGGTTGGACGAGCAGTCCGCTGGTTCGCACTCGTGTTTGAACTTGTTGATCTCAGCAGGCGTTTTTTCTCACCCGCGCTTCAGCACTGGCCCTGCTCCTCGTAACGCTTGGGCAATCTGAAGCCTCTGTATGATATCGAGGTGGTTGTCTCCTTCGTATTTCCATGCGTTGTGTCTCTCTCTCTCTCTCTTTTTCTCTGTCTATCTCCCGGCATCCCCCTCGCTGCGAGGTTCGGGCGTCAACCCATGTCTTCTCGTGCTGGTGTGAACGTCCAATCCAAAGCCGTTCATCATTTTCCCTCCTCCCTCATCATTCTTTCGCCCCCGTTATCGTCCACACCCCTCCCCATCCCCTCCACAAATACACATTTACGCACATACATCTCTCATTTTATGTTATGCGCATGTTGTACAAATCTCGTCATTGATAGTGCACACACACACACTTGTGTTTACACAGCACCCCGCAGATGCGGATAAGAGTGAGGGGGCGGTGGGGACGTTGGCAGTCTGCGAGACTCTGGAGAAGTCCGCCGCAGGCGCCGAAATTTCACACATTACACAACGAGCCCGCCGCAGGCGCCGATTTTTTCTTCAAACCAATGTGGATCGGTCGCGGGTGGGTCGCGGGGTGGGTCGCGGGTGGGTCGCAAAGTGTGTCGCGGGTGGGTCGCGGGTGGGTCGCGGATGGGTCGCGGGTGGGTCGCGGGGTGGGTCGCGGGGTGGGTCGCGAGTGGGTCGCGGGTGGGTCGCGGGTGGGTCGCGGGTGGGTCGCGGGTTGGGTCGCGGGTGGGTCGCGGGGTGGGTCGCGGGGTGGGTCGCGGGGTGGGTCGCGGGGTGGGTCGCGGGGTGGGTCGCGGGGTGGGTCGCGGGCGGGTCGCGAGGGGGACGACGACAACAAAAAACAATTATCCCGGCAAAGCAACCTAACAGCGATGTGTATAAGCATATTTGGAAGCATTCCCCTTAAGACTCAGGTGAGAATCCAGTTGTAGAATTCTGCTGTTCTCGCAGTCGCAGTCGCATTCGCAATGACAGTCACAGTGGCAACGGCTTTAGGATCCAATGGAATCCTAAGGATTCCTAGGGATTCCTAAGGCATCCTTAGGAAACCATAGGAATCCTTAGGAAACCTTAGGAAACCTTAGGAATCCTTAGTAATCCTGATTCATAGGGATTCCTGGGGATTCCTAAGGATTCCCAGGGAATCCTAAGGATTCCTAAGGATTCCTGAGGATGCTTAACTATACCTACGGATTCCTAAGGATGCCTACGGATTCCTGAGGATTCCTAGGGATTCCTAAGGATTCCTATGGATTCCTACGGATGCCTCAGCCTGCCTCAGTTTCAGCCTCAGCCTCAGCCTGCCTCGGCTTGCCTCAGCCTCAGCCTCAGCCTGCCTCGGCCTCAGCCTCAGCCTGCCTCAACCTCAGCCTCAGCCTGCCTCGGCCTCAGCCTGCCTCAGCCTCAGCCTGCCTCAGCCTCAGCCTGCCTCAGCCTCAGCCTCAGCCTCAGCCTGCCTCGGCTTGCCTCAGCCTCAGCCTCAGCCTGCCTCGGCCTCAGCCTGCCTCGGCCTCAGCCTGCCTCAGCCTCCCCTCCTCCCCCCCCCTTCCCCCCCCATTCAGCCTCACCTTGTCTCAGCTTCGGCCTGCCTCGGCCTCATCCTCAGCCTCAGCCTCAGTCTCAGCCTCAGCCTGTCTCGGCCTGAGCCTGCCTCGGCCTCAGCCTCAGCCTGCCTCAGCCTCAGCCTGCCTCAGCCTCAGCCTCAGCCTGCCTCAGCCTGCCTCAGCCTCAGCCTCAGCCTCAGCCTCAGCCTCAGCCTCAGCCTCAGCCTCAGCCTCAGCCTCACCTCAGCCTCAGCCTCAGCCTCAGCCTGCTCAGCCTCAGCCTGCATCAGCCTCAGCCTCAGCCTCAGCCTGCCTCCTCAGCCTCAGCCTCAGCCTCAGCCTGCCTCAGCCTCAGCCTCAGGCTTCAGCCTCAGCCTCAGCCTCAGCCTCAGCCTGCCTCAGCCTTCAGCCTCAGCCTCAGCCTGCCTCAGCCTCAGCGTCAGCCTCTCAGCCTCAGCCTGCATCAGCCTCAGCCTCAGCCTCAGCCTGCGTGAGCCTCAGCCTCAGCCTGCCTCAACCTCAGTCTGCATCAGCCTCAGCCTCAGCCTGCCTCGGCCTCAGCCTGCGTGAGCCTCAGCCTCAGCCTGCCTCGGCCTCAGCCTGCCTCAGCTTCTGCTTCAGCCTGCCTTGGCGTGCCTCAGCCTCAGCCTCAGCCTGCCTCGGCCTCAGCCTGCCTCGGCCTCAGCCTGCCTCAGCTCGGGCATTAAAAAGATGGCACAGGACTAGTGTTCTGGGAACACGAAGATCACGAAGTGGCCCACAGTTGGCTCTGGGCAATCAAAATATGGTACAGGAATTGTGTTCTGGGAACACGAAGTGGCCTACAGTTGGCTCCGGGCAATCAAAATATGGTACAGGAATGGTGTTCTGGGGACACGAAGATCACGAAGTGGCCTACAGTTGGCTCCGGGCATTCAACATGTGGCCTGGGAATGGTGTTCTGGGAAGACGAAGAACACGAAGTGGCGTACAGTTGGCTCCAGGCATTCAAAATGTGGCCTGGAAATGGTGTTCTGGGAACAGAATCTGTAGGAATCCATAGGAAACTATAGGAATCTATAGGAGTCCTGGGGAGTCCCCGGATTCCCTTGATTCTCCCGGCACCCGCCCAGACCCCCCTGGGGAGTCAAGATGTTTTTTTGACCCCACTAGAAACCTATCAGTCTGCACTGTTAGGTAACGACAACGCAACAAGCAGAATCCTCACCAGGGACTCTCACTTCAGCCACGCACCCAGGGATAATGAATGACCGTTCGGCCCCCTCACTCTGATATGTGCACATGTTGTGTGCAGTGTGTGTGTGTGTGTGGGTGCGAGTGTGTGTGTGTGTACATGTCGCCCGACTTTTCGCCACTGACTACGTGAGCATTTGAATCACAGCGTATCCGTATGGACTCCTGTGATTACTCGCATGAGGCCACCGCAACCTGTTCACATGCCATCGTGCTGGCCACGCGCTGTGGTGTTGGCGGCACGCGTAATGAAGGAACCCAGAGACGAGAGTCACCATGAGTCTCTGTGGAGTCGATGTTTCGTATACGTTCGATCGTGCAGAGGTGCTATACGTCATGGCAGTCCCATGGGTAGGCCAGAAAAATAATCAACTGTTGGAGAAGCGTGAGAGGCGCGCGCGCGCGACCACAATCATGAGCGATTGCATTGCTTGCCTGCGCATCGGATTGGGTATCGAATCGCCTTGTGCACTTGTCTTTCCGACCGCGGGGACGTGTGCTACTTTGACCCCTCTCCTGTACCTCTCGTCGTCCCCGCCCTGTCCCAACACTTCCCGTCCCCACACTTGCCGGCCCCTTGCTTGCCCCCTACCCTTCGCCCCCCTCCTCACCCCCATCCCTCTCTTTGCCACCCTCCTCCACTCATGGTCCTCCGCCTCGGCCCCCCCTCCCAATCCTTCTTGGCCCCCTCCCACCCCCGTCTCCTTGGCACCGCCTTTTTATCTTCTCCCTACTCGTCATATGCGTTCTCCCTCCTGCTGACCTTCCCGATGCTGTCCGATTGCCTCCTGAGCGCGGTGTGACGCCGTCGTGCCGTCGCCCATCCGCCATGATTTTCTTGCGGAGTGGCAGAAGGACCTCGTGACAGTCGTCGGGCTCGGACGTCCTGCATTAAGCGCCTCCAGCTCCGGGGGGTAGAAGCGATGATGATGATGATGATGAGGAGGAGGAGGAGGAGGAGGAGGAGGAGGATCGCTTCTGGTCCGATCGGTTCGATGATGCGTGATTGTGTCTGCACGTGGCATCGATCGGTCCGATTAGGTACCGCCAGGTGTGGCGTCTTTGTTCCATGGAGGCGGCTCGATTATGTTACTTTCAATTATGCCAGCGGTTCGACCGCTCTGCGGTTCGCAGCAGCCCTTGGACAGCCATGGAGGAGAACGAGGAGGAGGAGGAGGAGAAGGAGGGATGGTTGTTTCCATGTGCTCTCCGTCCGGCTGGATTGATCACGCGATTTGCACAACGCTTCGTGGGATGAGCACATGGGGCGCTGCCTACAATGCGGCGGTCCTTTCAGGGGAGCGCGCCGACTTCGGCCAGAACCAGGGCCCTGCGCCGAAACCGATACGCTCTACGCCAGCGCGCACGAATTGGCGTCGTCCCGCGCTCGAAAGATTGCATTGGGGGGGGGAAGCGTCAACAGGAGCTGGCAGAGCTCTAGGAGCAGGAGGGTTAGGAAGAGGAGGAACGGCAGCAGCGGGTGCCAGAGTTGCGCGTGCAGGAGGCGGAGAGTTCCTGCGCCTCGTGCTGCACCCTCCTGCTCCTGCTTCTTCCCTCGGTCACGGCAGGGGCCCAGGGCCCAGGTCCAAAGGCAGATTGGCGTTCACCCGTAAGGCCCTTCGGAGTCCGCATTGCACGATTTGTCATGCCAGACTGTTGTTTTGCTCAGGTCTCCATGAGTTGCTGATTGCTTGTTTGCTTGTTTGCTCCATCCATCACTCTTCATCTCTTGTCCCGTCGCGTGACCTTTGATCCTTTCTTTGCCTCCACTTCTCCACCGATCCATCCTCTCCTCGGACAACCCTTCATCCTCCTCGCCCTCCCCCCTCCTCCTGTCCTCCCATTCTTCCTCTCTGCCCCTCCTCACCTTCTCCCCTCCATCTTTCTGCTCCTTCCTTCTGAGTCGTCTCCTCCCCTACCCATCTCCTCCCCTCCGTCCAGTCTTCGTTCTCAATCCTCCTCTTCCTCCTCCTCCTCCTCCTCATCTTCATCATCTTCATCCTCAGTCTCATCCTCATCCTCTTTCTTCTTCTTATAACGTTCATTGTTCGTATTATTCATGTGCTTATTCTGTTTCGTTTTCCTCCTACCTCCCCCAGATCACGCGCGCGTGTCGCCCCTGGTGTTGCAAAATGCCAAGAGAATCCCAAAGACGATGCTCCGCGAAAGGGTCCGACGTCTCATATCTTTGGGGTATTCCCAGCAGTTGCTGGAAGCATCGTGCTGCGATCGCTCTGGTCAGCCGTTCAATTCGAGTCTGCTCTTGGTAACCGAGTGTCCAGGTGCCGCTGGCCGTGCGACAATCTCGATTTCACAAGTTGCCCACGCCAGCGTTGACGATGGTCTCCACGGAGCCCGTCTCTGTCAAGGCTGCGTGCCCCCTCCTCCGTTGGCGGCCGGCGGAGGAAAGCTGCAGGCCAAGAGCATCTGATGACGGTGGAGCGTTGGATGTGCATGCCCGCCGCAAGGAGGGGAAGGGGGGGGAAGTGTGTTCCCGTCACCGTCGCACGGGAGGAGAAGGAGGAGGAGGAGGAGGAGGACGAGGACGCGGAGGAGGAGGAGGAAGAAGAAGAAGAAGAGGAGGAGGAGGAGGATGAGGAGGAGATGGGGGGAAGAAGGGTGTTCCCGTCACCGTCGCACACGAGCATGGGAGAGGAGCGGGAGCGGGCGCGGAAGCGGGGGCAGCAGCAGGAGCAGGAAGCCGGAAGCAGGAAGCCGGAAGCAGGAGGGAGGAGGAGGATGGAGTGAGGGAGGAGGACGGAGGCGAGAGAGTCGGGGAGGGAAGGTATAAGAGGGGTGGGGGAGACGGAGAAAACATAATGTATGGGACGTCAATCATAATAGTTATTGCTCTCCATCTGTTAATCGCTGGAAGGCGTTAATACGAATGTGCGCGACGCTGAAGCGAGAGCCAAAGTCAATTGACTGCCATCCACCCATGGAGCTGCCGCAATGTTTGAGCGTGAGGATCAAAACCTGTGAGGAATTGTTAGGCGAAGCACCCAACCAACCCTACTCAGGGTGTGACAAGGAGGAGTTGTTTATGAAGAAAGGGGATGGAGGAGGAACGGCTGAAGGTTGAGCTTGAGCATGAGCAGGAGTGGACGCAGCAGCGGGGCAAGAGGCGGAAACAGGAGGAAGAGGGAGGAGGAAGAGGGAGGAGGAAGAGGGAGGAGGAAGAGGGAGGAAGAGGGAGGATAAGGAGGAGGAGGAGGAGGCGGAGGCGGAGGGGGCGAAGGGAGGCCAGAGAGGAATGCCAAGAGGCAGGGAAAGAGGAGAAGGAGAAGGAGGAGGAGGAGGAGGGATGATGGAGTAGCAGGAGGAGGAGGAGGAGGAGGAGGAGGAGGAGGAGGAGGAGGAGGAGGAGGAGGAGGGGGGCCGGAGGGAGGCCACTCTGACCTGGCCATTTGTGAAAACGGGGAGGAGCAGCAGGAGCAGAAAGGGGCGGGGAGGCCTGCTCGTAGCGCAGCCCGCTTGGGCCTCTCCAGCGAGGAGCGGCCGAGATGTGTGTGCTCGCGGGCGGAATTCAGGCGAAGTAAGCGAATTGAGCCCGCTTGCGCTGCGCCGCGGCAAAAAAGCAAGTGGGCGAGCGATGGCCACCGCCACCGCCCCAACGACGGCGGCGGCGCGATGACGGTCCGACGGCGACGACGACGGCAGCATTAGGACAAGGGGAGGGGGATGGTGGAGGGGGTGGGCGTGTATGGGGGGAGGACGAGGTGGGGACGTGCAGGAGGAGGAGGACGAGGGAGGATAGGGGAAGGAGAAGGGGGTATGCCACGCAGCTCTGGACGGAGCCGTGAAGCAGGTGGAGGTGCGTGAGTTCGAGGAGCAGCAGAGCGAAGAAGGCGGAGGAAGTAGGACGAGGAGGGAGCTGCTGGTCGACAGGATCGAGGCGGGATGATATGTGAGGTGGGACGAGGTTGGAAAAGGAGGAAAGAAGGAGGAGAAAGGAGAGACTAGGGATGGCAAGGAGGATAAAAGGCAGAATGGGGAGCATGAGACGAGGGGAAAGGGGCTTGGATTGAGTCGTTACTGCCGCTGCCCTTGCCCATCTGTTGTGCTGCGAACCAGCGCGCGCGCGTCCGCGCGTTTGGTTCAGAACAACGCCCGGCACGCCGGGAGACTGTCTTCCAGAGCTGGCACCGAGGAAGTGGCCAGTGTCATCGGGAGCGGCGAGGGAGAACTCGCCATGCAGCGTTAATTTTAAGTCGGGCGTGTCCCCCTACAGGAGGAATATTCAAACATAGTAAAACCAAAAAATAGTCTGGGAACTATTTCCCAACCATCCTGTGGTGTTGGGTCCTCGTTTTGAAGAGACAGCGCCCCGCGTCCCACCTTCCTCCTTCCCCTCCTCCCCACCCCCCCTCCTCCTTCCTCCCCCTCCTTGCTTCGTTTCGTAGCCCCATAGGGGGCTCCACCGAAGGCCCCAGTGGGGGTGCCCGCATGCGGTTCCCCCCACCCAGCGCAGCGTTCCGTGGCCCCATAGGGAGCTCCACCGAAGGCCCCAGTGGGGGTGCCCGCATGCGGTTCCCCTGCCCCGGGGAGCGTTCCGTGGCGCCACAGGGAGCTCCACCGCAGGCCCCAGTGGGGGTACCCGCATGCGGTTCCCCCACCCAGGGCAGCGTTTCGTGGCCCCACAGGGAGCTCCACCGAAGGCCCCAGTGGGGGTGCCCGCATGCGGTTCCCCCACCCAGGGCAACGTTTTCGTGGCCCCACAGGGAGCTCCACCGAAGACCCCAGTGGGGGTGTCCGCATGCGGTTCCCCCACCCAGGGCAACGTTTTCCTGGCCCCACAGCTCCACCGAAGGCCCCAGTGGGGGTGCCCGCATGCGGTTCCCCCTCCCATGGCAGCGTTCCTTGGCCCCACAGGGAGCTCCACCGAAGGCCCCAGTGGGGGTGCCCGCATGCGATTCCCCCACCCAGGGCAGCGCTTCGTGGCCCCATAGGGAGCTCCACCGAAGGCCCCAGTGGGGGTGCCCGCATGCGGTTCCCCCACCCAGGGCAGCGTTTCGTGGCCACAAGGATCTCCACCGAAGGCCCCAGTGGGGTTGCCCGTTCCCCCACCCAGGGCAGCGTGTCGTGGCCCCACAGGGAGCTCCACCGAAGGCCCCAGTGGAGGTGCCCGCATGCGGTTCCCCACCACCACCACCACCACTGTGGCAGGCCCCTCACACAGTTCGTGGCCCCAAAAGGAGCTCCACCGAGGACTAGATTCACAACTGCGGTACTCACAGCTGCATATGGTTGGGTCCCTGGCCAGGCTATTTTTTTTTGTTTTTTGTTGCCATTTTGGAGTATATTTGGAGTGTGTTTTATTTTTCGTCGAAAATCCCCCTGTAGGGGGGCAGACCCGACTTAACGTTAATTCTCATGCAGCAAGGACAGCACATGAGGAAAACCACGGATTGTTGGGTGCGAAAGGGGTTCGCTCTGTACCGTCGCAGCCTGCGACGCCTCATCATCAAGCCCCAGAGAACAGTGGAGGTGGACCGATGACGGATAGCGCCAGGGCGCACGTTGGTGACAGTGGCTCTGCCGCTGGGCCTTCGCTTCCGCATGCCACCACTTCCAGGCTCGGTCAAACAGGGGGAGGGAGCTGCTCGTCGTTTCCGGTGGCTCCCTGGGTACCGACGCTGGAACGGGGAAGGACAGCTGAACGGCAAGCATCCGCTCCGCTGCAGATGCGCTCCGACAAAGAAAGGTTCAGCAGCGATCGTCTCGCCCCCAGTACGTCGAAGGACAGGAGGCAGAGGTCCAATTCGATCCACGATTTTGTTGGTAAGCGCGGTCTTGATGGTCGAGAGATGTTGGATGCCGACCTCTGAGTGCGCAGCGAATGCGGACAATCGCTGTCCAGGAAGATCGTGGCGGTGTCCGAGATCGGTCAGTTACGCGTGTTCGCAGGTCTGCGTGCACCGCAGCGTCAACCATCTCTGCGAAGAGCGTTCCCGACAATGGCAACACAATTGTTTAGGCCTCAGTCATGCCGAGCGGGAGGCTGCGAAGCAGCAAGGGGAGAGCAATATTAATCAGATGGAGGAGATGACCCAAACACAAATGCAACAGCACGCCGTTGGTCGAGTAGAGAAATAACCAGCAACCAAGACTCGCGAGATGGAATTGGCGGCCGAGGGCCGAGAAGGACGTCTCGCCGCCGAGGAGGTTGAGACGACTCAGATGGCATTTGAAACGCGAGAGGCCGAGGAAACCGCTCGCATCGCAGAGGGAGCCACTATGAGGAGTCCAGAAGCAGAACTGGCTGAGGCGTGCGAGAAGGCCGGGAGGAGGACCCATGCTGGGAAAGCTTTCAGAGCCCAAGAGGCTGAAATGACTGGCTCGAAAGTAGTAGACCGTGACGAAACGGCAAGGTCAGAGTAAAGGGCCAGACAAGAGTTGAGGACCAGGCTGCCCCAGGCTGAGATCGCGGCGGCCGCCGCGCCGGCATCGGCGACCGTTGCCCTCGCCCAGCATGCGGCCGTGGCGACGGCCGCAGTTCGAAGTGGCGCCGCAACCGAGTCCGGAGGTGGGAGGGCTGCCCGATGTTGCGTGCGCAATTTTCTGAAGTGCGCCGACTGCGTCAAATGCGGGAACCCTTTATGCATTAAGGGCCAGCGCAATGCACGGCTCCACCGGCGTCTGAGATGTCGCGGGAAAAAGGCAGGATGCCGAGGCGCGCATGGAAGCGGTAGAAGAAGAAGAAGACGAAGAAGAAGAAGAAGAAGATGCAAAGCGCAGGCGGCAGAAAGAGCACCTGGAGCGCCTAGTATAAAAGGCGAGCGCATCAACGAGAGAGTTATGGAGAGAGAGAGAGAGAGAGAGAACGGAGAGAGAACGAGAGAGAGAGAGAGAGAGAGTCGGATTACAGCAGTGACACGACCGTTGGTGGATTGCCACTGCGGATGCCCAGGCACGTCGGATCTAGGAAGCAAATGCCAGAGCCAATGCGGAGGAAAACATCGCCGAAACGAGCTTACGGAGGGGACCGAGAGACTGGAAGAAGAGGCTCGTGTCCGAGCGGCTGATGAGCGGGGAGACATAGTGACCGCTGAACGCAGGTGAATGGAAAAAAGACCGAGCGGTCGGGGGAAATGATTGAAGCCGATGCCGCACAGGAAGCTGCTGAGGCGATCCCTTTCGATCCGGCACTAGAAGTCGACCGCGAGGCTCCAAAACCGATTGGAGACCAGACGCTGTTGGGAGACGACGAACCACCGCGAGCGGCCCCAGGTCGGGCACTCCTTGAAAGGGGGAGGAGATGACGGTCCCGGGGGCGGCGGCCCCGGAAATTGAGGCGGCCCCGACCAGGGTGCAGGGGTAGGCGGACGCGACCCCAGCTCTGGACGGTGTCAACCTTTGATCAGCCCTGACAGCGCGGCCTTGAAGAACAGGGATCGCCCTGGGGGACGTCGCGGTCTCGGAGGACCGCCGGATGGGAGTGGCCCCGGCCGCCGCGGGAGGCAGCGGCGCAAAATTTGCCGCCGCGCCAGGAGGGGGGGGCAGAAGCCCGCGGGTGAAGGTGGTGGATTCGAAGTCACCCTGCCAGAAACCCTGGTCGCCGCGGGCCTCGAAGCGCGGAAGAGGGGGGTGCAAGGGCGCTCGCCGCCGAAGAAGACGATTCCGATGCTGCGTTGCGGTTCCTAGAAGCATTGGGGAATGCAACCCCTCTTGGCTTTATTTTTGTGTATTCCACATGCTTAGTGGGGTTCTGGTTTTCTTCCCTCCCGCGTCGCACCCGCGACGCTCACACCTCCCCTCCCTCCCTCCTCCCCTCCTCCTCTTCCTCTCCTCCCCTCCTCCTCTTCCTCTCCTCCACTTCCTCGACACCACAGGGGGTGCGCTGGGGTGGTCTTCCTATCCGTTTCGGGCTCGCAGAGCGTGGCAGGCGTGGCACTTCTCGACACCACACGGGGAGCGCTGGGGGTGGTCTCCTATCCCTTTCGGGCTCGCAAAGCGTGGCAAGGGGGTGCGCTGGGGGTGGTCACCCTGTCCGTTTCGGGCTCGCAAAGCGTGGCAGGCGTGGCGCTTCCTCGACACCACAGGGGTGCGCTGGGGGTGGTCTCCCTATCCGTTTCGGCCTCGCAAAGCGTGGCAGGCGTGGCACTTCCTCGACACCACAGGGGGTGCGCTGGGGGTGGTCTCCATATGCGTTTCGTCCTCGCAATGCGTGGTAGGGTGCGCTGGGAGTGGTTTCCCTATCCGTTTCGGACTCGCAAAGCGTGTCAGGCGTGGCTTCTCCTCGACACCACAGCGGGTGCGTTGGGGGTGGTCAGCCTATCCGTTTCGGGCTCGAAAAGCGTTGCAGACGTGGCACTTCCTCGTCACCACTGGGGGTGCGCTGGGGGTGGTCTCCTATCCGTTTCAGGCTCGCAAAGCGTGGCAGGCGTGGCGGTTCCTCGACACCACAGGGGGTGCGCTGAGGGTGGTCGCCATATCCGTTTTCGGCCGTCGCAAAGCGTGGTAGGCGTGGCACTTCCTCGACACCACAGGGCGTGCGTTGGGGGTGGTCTCCCCATCCGTCCTGGGCTTGCAAAACGTGGCAGGCGTGGCACTTCCTCGACACCACAGGGGG